GAAGAATAATGTCATTTTTCGATGTTTCTTTTTTTAAATGTCAATTTTGACAGGTTAAGGAAATCACGTGACCTATTTTGTAGACGCCATTTGACATCATTTCTTAAGCAAAATCTACTGCCAAAATCAAATTTCACATAAAACGATAAATAAAAAAGTTTCCCATTTGATGCGGACTTTATCGGTGACACTGTATATTTGTGCTGTTGCCAGCGCTCTAGCATTACTAATATCTGAGAAAAATAAGTATAGTTCAAGTAAATGATATAGTGCAAAATACCTTCCAACAGCACCCCTTTTATAATTTAGTTAGGGGGCTGACTAATTTTGTTATTCAATAATCATTTCTGATAAGAATCACAATAACTATATAATAAAAATATATGTAATAATATATAAAGTAAATATTTCGTTTATATAGGTGCGACTGGGAAAGTAGGGCTTGAAATAACAGAGTGATAATTGAAAATACTTCTGCATACTACTTACTCAGGATCCAGTCCTCTTTACTCGGAAACAGTACTTCATAAGGCAGTTCGTAATTGACAGTTGAAGGCATAAAGTTAGAAGGCCTCATTTCCAGAATGATGTGACTTCCAGTGTGAACCAACAGTCTGTTGCACTCTACATTATATTGATTTATGCAATGTGTACAAGTCTATATGGAGTCCATCTAGCCCCTCTGTCTAGAACAATGCGGAGAGGAGGTAAATCTAGAAGGATCTCCATGGCCGCTAACGGTATAGTACTGATGGCACCACTGATGGCCAGACAAGCCGCTTTTTTTGAGCCAAAGAGCTTCGCCTGAGCCGTCTACTGTAAAGCCTTCGGCCACCAGGCAGTTGCTCCAAGTGATCATTGGTCTAATAATCATCGCATAAATCCAATGGATTTGTTTGGGACCTAAACCCCAAGTTTTACCATAAATCCTTCGACATGTTCACACGGTCAGTCTGGCTTTGTGTAAAACTTTTTCCAAGTGAGAGTTCCAAGTGAGTTTTTTACAAGACAATGCCAAGATATTTCAACTACGTTCCAAATGAAATGACCTCATCATTGAGGGAAGGTCGAGTTATATCGTCCAATTTTCTTCTCCTGGTGAAGGGGATTATCACAAACGTATTTAAATATCACTTTATTGTGAGATTTTCACTCAACAATTTTACAAAAACGTCATACAAGGGTGTCTTTGGGCGTGTCTTTACTGTCACAGTTTTGCTGGGGATGACAGACATCTGCTCCCTCTGGCACCCACTGTGAACAACGGACATCTTGCTTTGGAGGATATTACAAGCTTCCCTTCTCGAGGTGGACCTTGCCAAGATCATCTGCATAAGCTTGCAGATCTACTTTTCTTCTATCGAGGACATCAAGCAGACTATCCATCAGGAGCGACCACAGAAGGGGAGATAGTACCCCTAATCCTAATGGCCTGGCCTTGAAGAGTCGTAGTTGCAGTTTTGTTTACCAGCATGGTATAGATCCAGCCAGTTATGGTCGATTCTAAACTTTTCCTAGCCAGAGATGATTCTATAGATTTGGGTAGTGCATTGTCAAATGCTCCTTAACTATCGAGAAATACAGCAACCGTAATCTCCTTGTTGTCAAAGGATTGGGAAATTTTTTCTACAAGGTTGTCTGTCGATTTGCCGGTTTGATAAGCATACTGGTGGTTATTCAGTGGGGATGCATATAATGCTACCCTCCTGATATGTCCGTCCAGCAGGTCCTTTCAGCAGGAAGGATGTAAGGCTGATTGGTCGTACCGATATAGTGTGTGGCTCTTTCCGGTAAATATACCACCCTTGCTGCCAACCAACTGGGTGGTGTATAGTTCCACGCCAGACTAGCTCTATACAATTTTATGAAAATAGGTAATATTACTTCCAGTCCTTTTTGAAGCAGAGCTGGAAATTTACCATCCTCTCCGGGAGATTTGAAGGGCTGAAACGTCTTGAGAGTCCCTTCAACTGTCAGTGCTGTGATAACCTTCTTGACGATCTCCCAATCGTTCTCTTTTGGGTGTTTAGCGCTCAAAAACAGTACAAGACAAACTATTTTCTATTATTAAAAAATGAGTTCAAAAGGTTTGAAAAAATATTTCTAAACAAACTGCCAGTCTTCAAGCATAGTCCACTGACTAATAAGAAAGTTTTTGTCTTCCTTATTCAGAGGAATCGGGCAAATTACGGATATGCACTTGGTTAGTGCCTCGTCCACTAGATGGAGTGACATTTTGTGATGTTCGCTCCAACTTCGGAAGAGGAATGAAATACTCTGAAAGAATTCCGATTTTCAATGGCTTCTGTGGAAGAATTAAAGGGCTATATCAAGGCCGCGAAGGCCAAAAAAGCCTCCGGGGTTGACTCAATAACAAACAAGTTATTGAAGAAGCTCCCGGAAAACTGCGTTGAGAGCCTACTGTCCATCATTAATAGCTCTCTGGCTCAAAGATACTTCCCCAGAAGGTGGAAACATGCGGTCGTCGTCATGCTTCGTCGTCATGCTCCCAAAACAGGGGCAGAACCGGCTTTTTCCGCAGAATTATCGCCCGATTAGTCTGCTCTCGTCGGCGGCTAAGCTGGCTGAAAGAGTCGTACTTCAAAGGCTCAAGAAGTTGAGGACCGAAATGTTCTGCCTGATGAGCAATTCAGCTTCAGGAGAGAACATTCCACTGAGTTGCAGGCTCTGAGACTGGTCGAAAACACCATCGCGGAGCTAAACAGAAACAAAAAAGTTCATCTAGTCTTATTAGGCATTTCGAAGGCCTTCGACCGTGTTTGGCATGAAGGCCTTCTACACAAATTAATCACGTTCGACCTGCCTCGGGGCCTGATCCGGTGGATTGGGTCTTTCCTGAAAGACAGAACATTTCAGGTTAGAGTAGAGGGCTCTCTGTCTGACAACAGAGAGATCCTTGCTGGAGTGCCACAGGATGCCGTGCTCTCTCCCACGCTTTACTCCCTTTACACCAGTGACCTTTTAAGGTCCGAGCATATGAAGGCATTTCTGTACGCTGATGACACGGCTCTCCTCTCATCTTCCATGGGTCGGGAGCTCGTGATCGTCTATATGCAACGTGCATTGGGCGACCTCGAGCGCTGGTACTTCGAGTGGAAGATCCGAGTGAACCCGGAAAAAACTCAGGCAATAACCATGGGAAGAACGATATCTTCTCCGGCCATGAAAGTAAGAATCTCTGGAAGGGCCTAGATCTTCTTATAGACCGTAGGCTCACCTGAAACCCGCACCTGTTAAGCGTGAAGGCAACGATCCAAGGTCGGGTGGCAAACCTGTACCCTTTGATCAATAGAAAATCCTAAGCCTAAAGAATAAAATCACGATCTATAACACGATGTTCAAGTCTGTCATCATATACGCTTCAGGCGTTTGGGGACAAACGGCTCCGACTAACATCTCCATCTTGGAGATCTTACAAAATAAAATTCTACGGATGATTGTGAATGCTCCGTGGTTCGTGCGGATCGAAGCCATCCGCAGAGATTTGAAGCTGCCTTCAATTCAGTAGTCCATCCAGTCGAAGAATCGGCGAGTTTTAGATTACGCTGAAACTCTCGACAATCCGTTAGTCAGGAAAGCTATAGATTACGCTGTAGACGACCCCTCTCGATATAGAAGGCCCCGACACTCTGTCGAATGAGGCCTCTATGTCCTCCGTTAACAGATGAATAATATCTTCATCCATCTCACCCCAGCCAGGTAGGGGTACACCGCGAAGGGCGGTATGGATGTCTGAGGACTTTCATGCCACCATCAAAAATCAGTCATGACCCATTTGTCCCTCTGACGAAAACCAGCCCAAAGGGTAAGGGAGCAAGGCTCCAGCCTGACTCCCTTCGACTCCCATCGACTTTAGGTCGATGATGGTCAGCGTCTTGCACTAATGAGTGGCTAATAAGTCCGAAACCGGTCTGCAATTGTGCCTGTTCCATAATTGAAGGTCGACTCTTTCAGTTGTATAGCCAATTGCATATGCAGGAATAACTTCAGTGAAGAATCCTGCACTGACATTTGTCGGATATAATTCAACGCTCTTCGTGGTATTAGCCAGGGGAGTAGTTGTTTTCTGATAGGCGTCAGTCCATTACACCTACTGTGTAGGTATATAGAGACTGGCTTGAACTTTGCTTTGGATTTGAAAAAATATTATTGAAACCCAAATAAGTAATTTTCTCTATGAGAATTTAATGGTTTATTTTGTCAAAGACCTTGGAGAAATCAGTATACCTACACTGCATTAACATGTCCTCTTCGATGTGGAGATTCAGATAAGTATTGACTAAAAATGGATAAATTACTGATTGTAGATCTTGAATCCACGAAACCATGTTGAGATTCTGAAATTAAAGAGTTGCTAGATGAATGCGATTATACAATATAATCTTCAAGACCTCAGACGGTCTTGACATTTGTGAATAGGGCAAATTTTTGAAATATTGTAGATAATTTCGTTGGTTAATTAAAATCCATGATGAAGTGCACACATTGTGGACACTCGACTGTAACCTTCGATCCTTTCTGGGATTTGTCACTTCCTATACCAGAAAGAACTAACCAATTGAGTTTATCACAGTGCTTGGATTTCTTCACAGGAGAGGAAACTTTGGATGGACATGAAAAACCGACGTGTTACAAAGAAAGAAGAAAATGCACAATCGATACATAAGTTTCCCCATATTCTAGTTATTCATTTTAAAAGATTTTCTCTAACAGAAAGATTTAGAGGGAAGTTAAATGTTGCCATCGAATTTCCTCTAGATGGATTAGATATGAACAATTATGCAGCAGATAATGTGACTCCTTGTCGCTATAATCTATATGCACTTTCGAATCACAGTAGGTCTACCTACAGCGGACATTATACAGCATTCTGCAGACATCCTTTTAGTGGCACGTGTCACGAATACAATGATTCACAAGTGTCACCAATTTCACCAAAATCGCTTGTGAGTGGAGATGCATACATCCTCTTTTATGAAAAGGAGGAAACAGTTCGCACCTTTGAGCGTTTTGTAAAGTATTTTTGAACTGTTCATTTTAATGTTATGTATTATCTAGTTAAACGTTTATAACTTATTAAAAAAAATAGAAAATTAAGAGTTATTATCAGTTATAACACAGAGGCAAGTGTTATAACTGATATCAAATCGAATGTTTTCCAACTCAGCTTCCACTACTGTATAGAGACTTTCAAAGTATTTCCCAGAAAATATGGAGAAATTATTCATTGAAACTTCGTTTACACAATCGGATATCCAATGAGTCATTCATCCTATGGGTGTACTGGCACGAACATATTAACCAATAATTATTATACCCACGTTCCTTCATTTCAAATGTTAAATTTCCGGTGTTTCTTTCAAGGGTCTTCAAGCTATTCGATGTCCTGCTGGTCTATACTTCGATATCGAGAAACAGACTTGTGACTGGAAGGACTCCGTGAAAAACTGCAAGTTGAAGAACAAAGAACGTAGAGTGAAGCCGAATTTATTCACCGATAAACCGGTTTGTTCTGAAGGAGAACTGGCCTGTGGAGACTCACAGTGCATAGAGAGAGGTCTGTTCTGCAACGGAGAGAAAGATTGTGCGGATGGATCGGACGAAACCACTTGCGGTAAGTTGAAGAAACGATCAACCTAAGAATCAACCGGATTTCTACGTTGTTTCACTTTTATGAAATGACCGATTCTGGAAGACAGTGATTGAAAAAGCGTTTGAGTTTTAGGTTTATCATTACAATTTAGTAAACCGTCGATTTGTGCACTTTCACGGGTTTTTCCCAAGTTGGTATACAAGTTTTTCTCTTTTCTCCAACGAATGGTTCAATATTTGTCTTCCATTTCATTAATACGTCCTTTATTTTCAACTTCAGCTGATCAACCACCAGTTACGTAATTATACAGGGTGTAACAAAAAAGTAGGTCATAAATTGAACCACGTATTCTGGGGACAAAAATGACTTGAGCTCAAGTGCACACAAAAAAGTTACAACCTTTGGAAAGTACAAAATGTATACCGAACATTTTGTGATGAAAATGGAAATCGTAAGAGCATCTTTTTCAAATAGAACCACGATATCTGCTCAGCCCATGAAAAGTTTAGAGAGGTATTGAACCCCTAAAACACAGCAAACTTTTTTATGCGTTACAATCAAAATAGTTAATAATAATAATTCTGTTCTTACCCCCAAAAGCGGAGATTTTTCGATTCCTAAGAATTACAGACCGATAACATGCTTGAATTCGAGTTATAAGTTGTTTACAAGCATCTTATACACACGAATACTCACCGCAGTTGACCAAGTGTTCGAACAGATATATGAGCAGAGAGGGTCGAAGAGAGGAGTTGCTGGAAGTAAAGAGAACCTGCTCATCGATAGATGTGTAACGCAGGACTCTATACAATATAAGCGCAACCTCTCTTTGGCCTGGATCGATTACCGTAAGGCATTTGATACGATATCGAATGATCTCATCTTGCATTTGCTCAGATGCCTTGCGGTACCCGACAACATAGTGAGATGCATTGAACAACTGATACCACTTTGGCGAACTCGCTTCACCATTACATCCGGTCAGGCCAGAGTCCAAACAGAATGGGTGTATTTCAGGGCGACTCCTCCAGTCCCCTTCTCTTCTGCATCTCACTATTGCCATTATTCGTTGTGCTCAGAAATACTTGAGGGTATAACCGTGGCACCCACGGAAACAGAGAGGGTCACCCATTTGCTTTATATGGATGATCTTAAACTTTATGCCTCTGGAGAGGATCTTCATCAGTCCTTGAGGGTGGTGGAAGAGTACACGCATGCTATAGGTATGAAATTCAGGATAGACAAATGTGCAATGGTCCATCTCAAAAGAGGACGATGCGGGGACTACGGAGAGGATGTGGATTTCGTAGATGGAAGCATCCTACACCATCTGGATGCCGGAGAGACGTATACTTACCTCGGGGTGGAACAACGCCACTCACAAGAGGTAACTGCAGTGAAGAGCTCTCTCCGCGGCAAGTATCAGCACAAACTTCGACAGATCTGCTCATCGGAACTGTCGGAGAAGAACAAAGTTGCTGCAACAAATATGCTTGCCGTTCCAATCTTACCCTACTCGTTTGGAGTAGTGTGGTAAAAACCCGAAAAATGATGCATCTCTATAGGAGTTTGCATCCCAAATCGTCCGTTCCACGGTTGTACTTCCCTCGACAACAGGGAGACCGTGCACTTTTGAGTTTGAAGTGTCTACATGACAGAATGGTACTGGATACAGCCTGTAAAGTCGTCAGGTGTTCGGATCCCCTTCTCTGCATGGTCCGTGACCATGAGAGAGTAGGAATTCGGAGCATTTCTCCTTGGGGCAGCTGCCCGAGCAGCTGATGAACTCGGTATAGTTTTTGACTCTGAACGAGGTGACCACAACTCTGTCACCGAGTTGGAACCCGTTCAGCAAAAAGCTCAGATAGAAGCCGCAGAAATCACCTTACTCAAAATTTTAAATCAAATTGAAATTATTGCAAATGCTAAAGATAAGTGACTTGAGGTACAAATTGGTTCTGGCCAGTCGGCTATAAAAAGTTTTTGTACTTCTAGTTCTAAAATGAGGCACACAGAAATTTATAAGAGATAACACCTTCAAAGCATCCACATTGATGTGCAGTAATTTATACAGAAAAATTATTCCAGCAAGTTTTCTGCGTAATTCAAGACTTTCAATATTGAATGTTATGGTAAGAGATTCATGTGGAATACCTCTATCAGGATAGATACCATAGGATTTGAAGTAAATAAACTTCAGAAAACGACGTTGAATTTTTTCAATTAATGTATTATAGCAATTGTAGAATGGAGACCATAGAACAGAGCCATATTCTAATTTTGACCTTACGTAGGCTACATAAAGAGGGAATAGAGCAGTAAATTGTGACACCATTGGTTTAATACACCATTTTTGTATTTTCGAAAGGTTTTATTTAGCTTGCCTTGTTTGTTTGTTGTAATTGAAGTTTGACCCCCTTCCGGTTGACAGATTGATATGATATTTGGTACACATATTTAGTTTTGATGACAATACAATTTAATGAATTCTGTATCATTGCAAGATGGCTGCAGCTAGAAAATGGTGGATTATATTTTCTCACAACTACCTCAATATGAATTTCAGTAGTTTGGACTTTCATTGTCTGATATTATATTAAATGATTTGAAATCCCTGAAAGAACTAAAAAAGAAGAATTGAAAATTAAAGAAGAAGAATTAAAAAGGAATAGCTGAAAATAACAATCATATTGAACAAAAAACCTGAAATGATATAATAGTGAAATAAAATACAAGTAAAAATAGAACAGTTGATAAAAAAAATAAAAAGTTAAGAGATTTCAAGCCAAGTTACTTCACGACGTCTCGATTGTTAGTATCCACAATGGTGGTAGAAATAAGTAGGGTGAGGGGAACTTAAACCCCCCAAAAGCCTTTGCGAAACATGCCACCGTGGACCAGCCTACCCAAGCTAAGGTGTAAGGAATCGTGCCGATAGCTGAATGACCGCAGGGTGATATGCGTTACGAACGATCCCCGTGGGGAATTGGGCGAAACCTCATTGTAATCAGCCTACCTCTGGTAATGCGGGGCTCTGCCAGAGGTGACCAACTCTTCTCTTGCTACTCGTGGGAACGCACATGAATGAAACAGAAACAAAATAAACTAAAGCCAATCCCGAGATCATCTCGTGATGTAATACAAAGGCCAAGGCGTAAGCGCATTTGCAGCGCCGAGGCCAACAGGAGGAAGAGAGCGTAGGAGACAGGAGTGGCAGCAACTATAAGTGCACCCTCCCCCTCTCCCTACTCCACCTTCCAACAGCAAGGACTCTTCCTGCCGCGGGCGCCAAGGGCTCCACCTTGAATAAAGGCAAGGAACTGGCTGCCCCTGCAGGAAAGCTCCCTCACTTGTGCATCTCCACGGAGGGAATCCCTAGAAGATTGAAGAAGCCGCGCAACGACAGTAATGTCGCTGCACCTTCCAAAACCTTCGCGGAGGTCACCGTGAAATACCTCAAGGTTGCCAAAGAGAGTGTGTGTTCGGCGAGTCTTGGCCTACACCTGCTAATATGAAGGAGATGTCACCTAGTGACCCGTCCACCTTCCTGGAAAGGACAACTCCTCGGGAGGATGTACAATGGGTCACATGTGGCCTAAGTGCTGTTGGTCGACACTCACCCTCCCTACTCTACAAATACAGAGATACAGAATAAGGTTCCAGATAATTACCTGTAATTCTGGTATTCACAGATGAATGTCAAGGGAATAGTGCAACAGCTGCAAGGCGAAGTAAGGAAAATATTCTAGTTGGAATACACCAAACAGACGATTATTTCTTACCACTGATTGTCGTTTACGGGAGACGGGTAATACAAAAGTAATAACTGCACATGATGGTTTGGAAAAGATTGAAGGAACAACAGCTTCATTTCTATCACTCAACAACCGTTCAAGAATTACTAGATGAAGATCATCCTGAAAGAATTTGATGTTGCTACTAGTTCCTAACTTCCTTTCTGTTAAGTTCCCTTGGTGTTTGTCCATTTCTGAGGCTTCTAAATAGATTCTAGTTGAATAATGACTCGACGTTGCTAGTCTCTCGGTATTTTCTAACAGGATCTTGTGTTCCCCGTTGGACAGTTTAAGCGACTGCAGACTTCTCGGCAACTCCGCTTGTGCTCGAGTAGGCGGGTATCAATGCTTCTTTTCCTTTGACCGATATAGACTTTACCACAGTTACATGGAATCCTATGGACTCCCGCTGATTTTAGTGGATCTTTGCCGTCTTTTGCTGATCTCAGATACACCGATATTGTATTCGTTGGTGTGAAGGCGGTGTTAATTTTCTCCTTCTTTAGAATTGTTCTCATTCGGTTGGTAACACCTTCTATGTATGGCAGATATGCAGTGCCTTGGGGTTAATCTTCACTGGTGTTTCTCTTCTTCTTCCTTAGATGCGTAGCGCAAATTGTCATCAGTTTCAGTTGGCACGTCAAAAAGAGTACTTCGATCGCGCCACTGAAGATGACTGCCGCAGTTGCAGTTGAGATTATAACCAAAGAAGATCGATCGGAAATCAATCAGAACATTATGGGTAATTTGTAATAGGACCAGTATTTTTTTCAAATAATTGGAATCGTGTAAACTACTTAAAGGTTTTACAAAATTATTTACCAGTGAAAGTGGTAAATTTAGGGATAAGGTGAAATATGTGGTATCTACAAGATGGAGCTTTAGCGAATTTCGATGACGAAGTTAGGAAATAACTTTTCGGTCTGGCCGTTGGATTGGGAGGGGCTCTGATGCACCTATTTCTTGGCTGGCTAGAAGTCCAGATCTCCACTCTATTGACTTTTGCTTCTGGGGTTGTATAATAGAGTACGTGTATTCTATTGAAATAATCGGCAACTGAGGCATCGAATCATTAAAAGTGCAAATCGATTTCGTCAGAAGCCTTTGATCTTTCAAAAAATTAGGTTTTTCTTTTTGGAACGATGCCATATATGTATTCAGGAGACTGAAGGCCATTTTGAACATTCATTTTAGGAAATAACACACACAGGATCATTTGCTGTCAGA